TACACATAAGAGCAAAACAAATATCTCTGTCTGTCTCTCTCTCTCTCTCTCGCGCGCGTTCTCTCTCCCATTTTTTTCTCCCTCTCCTTCTCTCTTTCTCTCCCTTTCTCCCTCTCTCTCTCTCTCTCTCTCTCTCTCTCTCTCTCTTCTCTCTCTCCTATTTCTCTCTCCTTCTCTCTCTCTCTCTCTCTCTCTCTCTCTCTCTCTCTCTCTCCTCTCTCCCTCCCTCTCTCTCTCTCTCTCCCTCTCTCTCTCTCTCTCCCTCTCTCTCTTTCTCTCTTTATCTCTCCCTTTCTCCCTCTCCCTCTTCTATTCGTCTTTCTTTCTTCATCTCCTTTCTCTCTCTCCTATTTTTCTTCTCTTCAATCAGCAGTTGCGAAATAAATATCTTTCTCTCCCCTTTCTTCTTCTTCTTCTTCTTCTATCTAGAAGAAGAGAAAAAGAAGTTAGAAAAGAAGAAAAGAAAAGAAACTGAAAAAAATTTATGAAAAGGAGGAATGGGAAGAAAGAAAAGAAGAAAAAAAGGAGGAAGAAGAGAAGAAGATGTAGGGAAAAGGTTCCGTGTCCCTGCGTATCCCTGGTGCCTCGTCGGGAATGCGCGCGACGTCGGTGGGAGAGCAGCGCCTCCGGAAGCCGACGGAAGGGACGCGCGGGCTCGGTTCCTAAGGCGTCTTTTTTCTTTCTTTCTTTCTTTTATAGGATTTTCAGAATTCTCATAAATTAACGAAGGAGAAGACACGAATGTAGGCGACAGTTTTATGATTTTTTTTTTTTCCCAAAACCGTCTTGTGGAACATCTCGTAGCGGAGACGTATTTTTTTTCTTTTATAGAAGAAACGAATGTTTTACGATATATTTGTGTGCGTATGTATGTACATGAGTGTTTGTGATAGCTTGGGAGCGTGTGTACTTGCGTGTATGTAAATATTTGTGCCCTTACATGCATGTGATCGGTAGCGCATATGTGAAGTATATACAGGAAGGGGATCCCCTCAATTACTATATGAGTACACACGAATCTCCTCGCGGTACATTCGCAAAACAACAACAACAACAACAACAACAACAAAAACAGACAAACGAAAAGAGGGAAAAATAGAAAAAAAAGATCACAGACGCGACATCCGGAGCCGGGAGATCGGGAATCGGAAACCCCGGCTGCGGGTATTAATATCAAAGGCGGTTTCGTGGATTTGGGAGAATTGAAACCTCGGGAAGAAGAAGAATTCAATCAAGAACCTCCGGAGACTTCGTTGTCCCTTCCTTTGATGGGAAACGCCGGTGCTCAGCGTCGAAAACTGTCCCGGATTATTTGATTGGAGAGCTTGCGACCGAGGAGGAGGAGGAGGACGGAGGGAGGGAAGAAAGGCCATTAGTTTTTAAAACCCTTTCGTACATTTTCTTTTTATAAATTAATTTCTCTTATTTTTTTCTATCTCGGAGTTTAAGAGGGTAAATATTTGATTTGTGAATGGAATGCGTCGCATGAAGTCAAATTTCTTCTTAAAGCCATATTTTTGAGAGATTGAGCAATTGGCTAGAAACAGCGTGCGGAATTTATCAAGGCGAAGAGAATGTTAGCGGCGATACGATATAAGCATATATATATATATATATATATATATATATATATATATATATATATATATATATATATATATATACACACACACACACACCCACACACACACAAACAAATACACACACATTAACAGTATATTATTTGATCAAGAAATATATTTCAGGAACTATATCCCTTTACACAAACTATATATTTTACATATATTTAACTCGAGGAGGCAGGTTTTGCATGTGCGCGCGCGCGTGTGTGTGTGTGTGAGTGGACACACATACATAGATTTATGCACACACCCATCAACACACACACACACACATATATATGGATCACTCCAGCGACAAAAAGCACGAGAGGCATAAGCCAGGACCCAGTGGCAAAGGTTCAAGCGCTTCTCAGTACCTCAGGGCCAGTGAACAATGAGTGTCTGTGCTCCTCCTCTGTTCTCTTCAGCCGAAGTCAAGCATGTTTTACAAGGAACTTGAAACCACAGCGACTCACTAGCTGCTTTACACATGTATATGGAAAATTTCGTTACATTATGCTTCTTAAAGACTAACATCGTGAGACTAGATAACTGCATCCCAAGCATCTCCATCCGGAGCCGGAATCCCTAAGGCAGTTCATCATCGCTTGCGACCTCTGCGACGCCGCTGGTGCCCAACCGTATCGATCTTTGCCGTTCCTTTGGATCCATCAGCTGAGAGAGGGAGCCTGCTGCATGGGCAACAGCTTGCTCCTCACATTCTTCCGCACTGGCAATAATGACAAAGTCGACATCGACTGATGGTGGCCATGTCATATATATGCATATGTATACATACACACACACATACACACACACACACATATATACATAAATATATATATATATATATATTTATATATATATATATATATATATACACAAACATGCATATATAT